GTTCATAAAGTCAAGTACCCCTCAAAAGGTCCGGTTTATTTCATTTTAAGGATGCGCACCAAGTAACATCTCCAGGTGCTCCTTTGAGAACCAGGGCAGAAAAGTGATGTATATATACATAACATTCATAGTAAAGCTTTAACATGATTATCTAACTTACTCTGTGAAATCAAACGTCATTATTTCAATTGTTTACCCTGATTGGTGCTGCACTCTAACCTCATACGATTCAATAACCACTATTATATTGAGATGTTGCATTCATGAAATAAAACCCACAGAAACCCGGTTTGCTGCACGTTTATTTCTGCAGAAACACACCGTCATATTGTTTCTAAAGCTTTTAAACAACCTCACATTTCCTCTAAGGACAAACTTTATTAGCATTTAGCTCTAGTGTTGTTTACTCGTCGGCCGTGCTCTCGATGGCTTTCCTCATCCAGCGGCCCATCCTGAACAGGTGTGTGTAGAAACCGTACTTCCCGTCACGATCACACCCCTCGCCCCACGACACGATGCCCATCTGGTACCAGCGGTTATCTGCCGGGTACTGAGAGGAAGAGACGGTCGACAATGAAAGACATTAAGAGCATAAAACACATTAGAAACATTAAAGCGAAGATAATAAAACATGAATAACAGGCACAGTTCCTGTTTCACTGTAACCCGACCCCATCTTTGGCCTCTAAACCACCTTTCTTTTCAATTCCCAGAATGAGGATATTTAACCCTTCACGTAGACTTTAGCCACCAAGGGTTGAGCAAGAAATCCTAATTATGTGCAGCTTTTCTAACGTGGAAACAGCCGTACCTTCATCACAAACGGTCCACCGCTGTCTCCCTCGCAGGCGTCGCCACGTACTGCGTCATCGGGTTTAAATCCTGCCACAGAAGCATATCATATATTCAAGATTCAAGTCTTTATCATCATGTGCTCAGCAGCTCCAGTATAGATATGTCAATGCAAATCTGAAGTCACAGGCTCCTCCAACAGTTTAGTCAGTGCTTCTGCTTTCACCAGAGTATTATTAAACATGGGTGTCTCTACTTCTACTAGAGGGAAGAATGTGTGTACTTTTCCTCTCTGGTTATCAGAATAAAATTGAGAGTTACCGGCACAGAACATGTTGTCCGTGGTCTTCACGCTGGTGGAGGCGCGGCAGATGTCCGGGTCTACGATCGGGAGGTGGATCTGTTGGAGAACTTTTGGTAAGTTCCTCGCTGACGGGTTCCAGGTTTCCTTCAGGTTCCCCCAACCCGTGACCCGGCCTTTAAATCCAGAAGTCATCAGTCTGTGAGGAGGAAACAGAGGTCAGAGGTCAGTGAAGCCCCGATTTGAAGGTCCCCTATTATACTATTTAGGCGTACATTATAGGTCTCAGATATGTAAAAATACATAAAATACACATACTCTCTCCAGGACAGGTTAGCTCTGAGTGTTAGCATGCTAATGTGAACACAGACCATATTACTTCCAGAACACATCTCATTGTTTCTGACAGCAACGTTTCTGATTGGCCCGTGGGGGTAAAGCCCGCACAAATTTTAGTAACGTCGTCATGACGCAGCAAATCTTGATCAGTTCCGTTGTTCCCCGTTTTTAGAGATGTGGGTACGGAAGAAAAGAGAGGGGTTTTTATTTCCTGACACTTTGAGAGTCTCCTGACACACCGGGGACACACCAGGGACACACGGTGATGTAGAAAAGACATCAGAAAGTGACTTGCATGATAGGACACCTTTAAAGATATTGATAGGAGACCTTTAGAGACCGTGTGTTCCCATGTTTCTTACGTCTTGGCGACCTTCTTGCTCGGCAGGCAGATGGGATGGATCTGATCCGTGAAGACGACCGGCCTGCGGAGGTGAAGCAGAGCGATGTCTCGGTTCAGATTCACCTTCCAGTTGTACTTTGGGTGAACGATGATCTCATCGATGGCCACGATCTTTTCAACGCCGCGCTCAAACCTGGAGAAATCATCAAGAAAGTCATGCTGTGATCAAACAAACTACTTTTAAAAGATAAACAGACAAACAACCAACCAATAGACAAACAACCAGAAATAGCCAAACAACCAACCAACCAATAAACAAACAACCACCCAACCGATAGACAAACAACCAACCAACCAATAGACAAACAACCAACCAACCAGTAGACAAACAACCAACCAACACACCAAACAACCAACCAACACACCAAACAACCAACCAACCAGTAGACAAAAAACCAACCAACACACCAAACAACCAACCAACCATTCAACCAAATAACCAACAAACCAATAGACAAACAACCAACCAACAATAGCCAAACAAACAACCGACCAACACACCAAACAACCAACAATAGCAAAACAACCAACCAACCAGTAGACAAACAACCAACCAACCAACCAGTAGACAAACAACCAACCAACAACCAATAGACAAACAACCAACCAACACACCAAACAACCAACCAACCAATAGACAAACAACCAACCAACCAACCAACACACCAAACAACCAACCAACCAACACACCAAACAACCAACCAACCAGTAGACAACCAACCAACCAACACACCAAACAACCAACCAACCAGTAGACAAACAACCAACCAACAAACCAAACAACCAACCAACCAACCAGTCGACAACCAACCAACCAACACACCAAACAACCAACTAACCATTCAACCAAATAACCAACAAACCAACCAATAGACAAACAGAAGGTCTTACTGGGCGCGGTTGTGTTTTCCCAGTCTAACCAGGATGTCGCTGGCGGTGAAGTTCTTGTTCCAGGGCGGGTAGAGGATGCAGTGAGCGGCCGTGAGGATCCATTGATCGCTGATCAGACTGGCTCCACACAGAAGCTCCTGAGGGCTGCGCTTATACAGCATCACCTGCCTGCACACACACAAAATCAGGGGAATGAGTCAGCATCGTGAGTTTTCAAAAACCCTGAAATGAATCTTGGACGTTTTTCAAAAAAATCTCCCAAATCATCAGGAAACGGAGCCGGTGCGATACTAACTTCAGGGATCAGAACTACACAAATTGTGTTTTTTGTAGTTACCACGGTGCTGAGGCCACCTCGGCGTCGTCGCCCCCGACGATGCGCTTGGCTGCGTACGATTCAAGAAGCTCTGACTCCTTTGAGTCGAGTTTGTTGATCTTCTCGAACAGCGGACGCTCTCCACAGGCTGCCAACAATCAGAGAACAGTGAACCAGATGTTTACAGAAAATACAGTTAACGATAGTTTGGACTTCCTGCTTATCTATGAGTTATTTATCGGCACTCACCGGTCTCTCCTTCTCCAAAAGTTCGAGGTTTGTAGAAGGTTTTCCTGGCGGGACCGAGAACACTTCGCTCGCGGTCAGCGGTCTCCTCGTTCAAATCGATCAGCAGATCCTCTGAGAGACAGACAGGAAGTTCATTAATGTCCTCACAGTATCCTGAAGTATCTCAGTACTTTAGTAGTACCCAGAGGTGGGACCAAATCAATTGTTTTGCAAGTCTGAGTCAAGTCTCAAGTCTTTGCGCTCAAGTCCAAGTCAAGTCTCAAGTCAGGATGGGCAAGTTCAAGTCAAGTCCAAGTCCTAAACTTTGACAAAACGAGTCTTAAACAAGTCCTTATGTGCTTTTCTCCAAATGTAATAACATCGATCAACAGAATAATACTTAATAATCAAACTACTCTTTATTAGTCACATTAATAATTTAATAATCCATTTCCCCTCTGCTGGTAAAGTAACATGATTTCTTCTATTTGAAGAGGGATCAGTAAGGTAAGGCTACCGTGACGTTTTGATTCAGAAGGAGTTTAATGTATAAGATCCCTGATGTTGAGGTAACAGAATGTTTATTTCCACTGTGTCCAACATGTTATAAGGGACCCACGATCTATCTTTATGCAAGGGCTAATGTGCAGCGAGGCGTCTCTATGGGGAAAAGAACACCTGAATCTAGATCCCTCTGCAGGTGGTACTTTGAATATATTTTGATGATCATACTTTTCTACTTTTACTTGTGACATTTTGAATGCAGGACTTTTTATTGTAACCGAGTATTCCTACACTCTGGTACTTTTACTCAAGTACAAGATCAGGGGCCTCATTTATAAAGGGATATACGCTCAAAAAATGGCGTACGCCAGTTTCTACGCAATGTTTGCGATTTATAAAATACTAACTTGACGGGAAAACGTGCAGTCCTCCACGCAAACTCCAACCCATGCGTACGCACTAAGCACAAACACGGGAGAGACGAGAAACTTCGACACCGTTGGCAGAAGGAAGAATGGAGAGAAATATGTGGAAATAATACCATAAATAAAATGTTACCTCTCATTTATCATATATGAAGAATTCATTTTCAAACATTGATTAGGCAAGGCAAGTTTATTTATATAGCACCTTTCAACACAAGGCAATTCAAAGTGCTTTACAAAAAATGAAAGACATTAAGAAAATGGCATTTAAAATCAGTCATTAAAAAGAAAAGTTAATAAAATAAACATTAAAAGAAAAAATACATGGATAAAAGTTACAGTGCAGTCTAAGATGTGAATAGTTCAATTAAAAGCAGCGACAAAAAGAAAAGTCTTCAGCCTGGATTTAAAAGTAGTCAGAGTTGCAGCGGACCTGCAGGTTTCTGGGAGTTTGTTCCAGATATTTGGAGCATAATAACTGAACTTCTCCATGTTTAGTT